CGTTAAAATGTAGCTAACAAAAAATGATGTAACAACTTAAAACAGCTCAAACCAAAGAGCGAACAGCAAAGCAGGGCTGAAAAATACTGCACTTTCCTGGAGTGACTGCTTGAGTCTTTGTAACGAATGTCTTTGAAAGTGAGTCAATTACCCAATGTTAAAAAACTTCACTGCATTAAAAAGCATGTTTACAGTGGTGTACAAAAATAGTTTTGGTGTCTATAACTTTCCAATTCATACCAACTGTATGGATTCAAATTCAGAATCAGAATAAGAATCAGCATACTTAATAATCCCTACGGAAATGATGTGGGTTACAGTTGCTCCAGTACTGTAACAAAAACAGACTAGACTATTTAACAATACAATATGTTAAGATTTAAGAAATAGCACAATATATACAAGTCACTCAATATTAAATATCAAGGATTGACAGATGTGATTATAAATAAATATCAAGAATATTGATAGCAACATTACAGAGTAAGAAAAGAGCGTGTGCAAAAAGGGTGTAACTATTGCAGTGTTTACAGTGCATTTGATGGAGGAGTTGTACAGAGAGATTCCTTTAATATCTTCAGGTTCGGGGCCATCTCTGATTGACACTTGTATGGGCACAGGCAGATTTAGCTAAGTGTTGTATGCTAGGCCTCACTTCTGCTAATTCAAATAACAGAACTTGGCTTCTCAGTATTGTAATTAAATATGTGACAGATAATGTGGCTTGCTGGCTTGCTACCTGACATACATAAAGCATAACATGTCTCATGTTTTGCCAGTGCTGGCTCCTTTGTGGCTCTTACTCTGCCTGTCAGTGGGTTACTGCAAATGAGTAAGAGTAATTTATCTTTGTTGAAACCACACTGACTGGCTCATCTGTGATTATGTCACTGTAACTCATAATGCATTAAATAACAGTAACATTAGTAAAAAAAATTAATTAATTAATTAAATCTACATATATGTATATATATATATATATATATATATATATATATATATATATATATATATATATACACATATATATATATATATATATATATATATATACATACATATATATATATACATATATACATACATATATATATATACATATATACATACATATATATATATATACATATATACATACATATATATATATATACATACATATATATATATACATATATATATACATATATATATATACATCAGATATCACAATAGATGTTTTTCTTTTGAGCCATAATCCAATCCAGTGTTGATTAGATTACAACTGACCACCTGGACCAATATTAATGTCCCCTTCTCTAGAGATTTAAATTCAAATGAGTCTTTAAGAGACAATCCTCCCAGTTGTCACCCAAGAACTGTTTTTTGGTTCCTGACATAAAATGGAGCTTAGAATGGAATTAGTATGGAGATGTATTGTGTGTCTGTGTGTGTTTGTGAGGGAGGGAGGGGGGCAAGCTTTGTGGTCTGTACAAATGGATGACTCAATCTCTGCCCTTGCCCTGAGCCTCAGTGTAAATGGACCCTGCCTCTCCTCTGGCTAATCACTCCGACTGGAGTTCATGACAGCCTTAAGTGCCGACTGCACCGCTGTGTTATTAAATCCAATCCACCAGTCAGGAATTATTTAGGGTGATTACCAAGTTTATTTTAATTTTCATCTTCAGCTATCACTTGGTTGCATTAAAGCGGAGGCACAGTGACTTTTGGGCTCGCTCAGATAAAAGGAGAGCAACATATCATTTTAGCTGACCGTGAAGGCAATGACACACATAGACACACTCACTCCTGAAGACACTCACCAAGGGTTCAATCTTATGGCCATATTGAATTACGTCTCTCCACTCCTGTGGTGCAAACTGCTTGGTAGAGGAGGTGACACCTTGCATTTATGCTAACAGCCGAAGAGAAGAGATTGCAATTTCCTGCTGATTCTCCTTTCTCACAGCAGTGGGGATCCTTTCTGCTAAACCATCCCACTACAACGCCAGTCTTCCACCATCTGCTCCCACCAGGCTACATTTTATAGCAAGTCTCAATTTAGGTTGTGCAACATGACAGAGAGATTAGCTTTGCAGCTGAAGGGCTAAAGTACAGAGACACACAACTTTCCAAGTTTTTAGGATAAAAAAACCCAATTCAATGATACAATGATGGATACAAATATGATTATAGAGTAACTTTTTAGTCATCCATCTACCTTCTACTGCTTTGCAGATCCAGGCCATGGGAGCTGCAGTCTAAAGACTGGCCTCTGCCTTCTCGGCCACCCCCTGGTACAACAATGTTGACTGAGATAAAGTAAGCAAAGGGCTAAATAGCAAACCGAACATGGTTACAGGTCACAGGATAAAATTTATTACTGATTAAATCTCCCTTAAATGCTATACAAACATTCAGACATCACTGCAGTTGAGACGCCTCAGCACAATGCTGCTTCTTTTCCCTCTCTGGGAGTTGAGGTGTTAGCCTTTAAGGATGTTGTGGGCTGAAATGAGAGAGGCCTTGAGTAGTCTGAGTGCTCTAAAGACAACATATGCCCCGAGGTTCTAACAAGCCCTTGCCTATAGAGGCAACTCTTTTTGGGCGCTTCGGCTGCAGGCTCATCCTGTAGGTCACTACCAACACTTTGAGGTTACAGGTAAAGGTAGGAAATTGATAGCTTGACCTTGAAACTCAGCTTTCTTTTTACTGCAATGAAATGCTACATCATCCACATTACTGCTACGATTCATCTGTCAGTCTCTTGTGTCACTCTCCCCCGACTCATGAGCAAGACCCTGAGATACCCTGAGGTCCGTCACTTGAGGGAGGGACTTATTTCCACACTTTCCCAGCATCTGAACTATGTGACAGTGTTAGAAGTCAGTTTGTTTGTCCAAGCACACAGAGGATTTTTCAAGGTCAAATCCTGGTTGTCCTACTAAAGGATTCTGAGGGCACAGCTGGAACATTCATAAACTAGATCACACTCAGGGTGGCTGGAGGTGATCACGCTTTCAGAAATCCATCACTTTGATTATCTGAAATATGGAAAAGAAAACCATAAAGAATACAGAATTCCATTCAACATTTATTTTTTCAGTAAATTTTGGAACAAAAACCGACCTGAAACATCAGGTTTACATAGTGCAGCTTACTAAAAGTGGTAAGATGCCAAAATTAGAGAAAGTTCCAGAAGCTGAGGCTGCTGCGATGTTCCAAATCTGCCAAGAGCTCCCAGTGGCGGCAACAATTTGTTGACCTGATTCATAAAATGAAAAAAGAACCTACAGTACATCTGTCAGCATATAACTGATGTGGTCATACACTTGGTTACATGCACTTCTTAGTTAAATCTGCAGTTATCAAGCTCAGCTCTCTTTTTTAATGTATGCTTTTCATTGTTTAATTGTAACCTCTGCTGTCTCTCTCTGTCCTTTTATGGTCGTGGTCGGGCCTGATGACACATGACCTGATATCCCAGTGTTGGTCCAACATCATCATAACTTTGGTCGAGGATCAAGATTGCAACTGACCAATGTGATGTTAACAGTTAACATTAGCCAAGAAGTTAGCTAATACTTTAAAAAAATTACTACTAGAAAACCAACATGAGTAACCTAAATTTGGCTAACAGCAAACCTAAGTTGATAAAAATATTTATTATGATGTATAAATGAATAAAGAAAACACTTGAAATGCCGATTATTTCTTCCAGAAGAAATTTTTATATTCCTACATTCCTGCAAAGCTATGACATCACAACAATGTTGATCCTGAAAAAGCACATTATGATGCTGCAGGGATATCAGATACGTCAGCTGCCGACAGTCATTTAACACAGCTCTGTGTTAAATGAATATTGGCAGGCTCTATAAAATTTACAGAGATTGTATTTATTAAAGTGGAGTGTAGAGAGGAGCTGAGAAGGGACAATTCAAGTAAAAAAAATATTAACTGAGTTGACGATTCAACAATAAAATAGTGACACGTCGCGACACAGCCAGAGGTTCAAAGGAAAGAGTTGTATTCCTTACAGCTCTTAAGGTTTAGATTCAGAAGATTCTAGCCTTTGACTTGGACTCCTATATAAACCAAGTGAGACTCACCAGACATTTAAGAAAGTTCTAGATACTCCCTTTACCCTTCAAAACCAGAGGATTCAAATATCCTTTTTTCCACATATGCAGCAGTGCACCCTAAACACCTGTAAACAGGCTTTGATTTATTAAAACAGTCCACAACAGGATTTAGCCTTTAATTTCCTTCTTTGACGCATTTTTGCTGATGTTTAACTGCACTTTGCAGATCAAGTATCACTACATGTTGTGCACCAGAGAGCAGAGAAGTATATATATGCTTTGTATACAGTACATGAATTACCTTGAGTGTTTCATATATAGCACATTTACTGAGAAACTGCTGTGGTAATGCAGGACCCAGCTTATATTGGAAATTTCATTTCGAGAATTGCTTTAGAGAATTTAATCTTTAATGGCTGTACTGGAGCTGAGCCAAAGAAGCATATGGATTAGTAGTTTATACTTGGTGTTGATAACTGATTTGCATATTGTGTAACACTGCAGTGTAAATACAGACTTTCCACATGATGCAGGTGCAATGAAGAAGAGTGGTGAGAAAGCTAAGTGCTGAAATGCAAAGGGAATCAAATAAATTACTAGACATACAGACTCGTAAAGCAATATTTCCAATTTTAACTGGGACTGAAAGTCAGAAAAACAATACACAAAAACACAGCTCAGGAATTATGTATGAATAAAAACAATGGTCTTCTGACAGCCACAGGGAAGCCGACAGGCTAAAGTGAGTCAGTGAAGGTGACACAGAGAGGAAAGATTTCATCTCCAACTGTGTTTGTGAGAGAGTGAAAAAATAAAGAGACACAGACATCACAGAGCTTTTCTTTGGCATCCAAAGGGGCAGCAGATGATGACACACTGGTGACACACTAGGATGTTAACAAAAACAGAGATACATGCTGTACGACACACACTCACCAGGCCTGAGGTTTCCTCTTGAGCAGGCCCTGTCTCCTCCATCGAGAGTGGGGGCTGAGATGGTAGGTCAGCTGACGACAAACCTTTTCCATCGCCCCAAGAGAGTCTCCCTCCTATTGAACACACACAGACAGAGGCACAAAATATCAGCTTAATTACAGACGGCAGCCAGAAAATAAGAAAAAAATTTCTTTGTAGCTTTATTTTCACAGACATCAGTTCTATTGGTATTTACATGCCCAGCCAATGACAAAAATTAAGAACGAGCTAGCAAGTCAGCATACCAGAGGAGACAGCTAACGGCATATTTATGTTTAAAGTGTAGTTTTTGCACCTTCTTGTTTGTGTGTATAGTATATTGTTGAAATTGTACTTTTCACTGCTCCTTGCATAATTTGTTTTACATATTTCCGAGGTGCTTTTTAAACCAAGCTTTGTAAAACAGCTTAGGCTAGAAAGACAGCCTGCATTATCAACATGTAGAAAGTGCAAAACTGTTAGCTGATATAGCATCATAACTCCTTTAATTTCTCCTTAAAATATCCTCCTGTTGGTTTAAATGAGAAATTACTTTAAACAAAGCAGCCCCAATAGAATAAGTGATTTTATAATGGTTACATCCATCGTTTATATAAGGGGTCCCCAACTCCAGGCCTCGAGGGCAGATGTCCTGCAGTTTTTAGATGTGTCCTTGATCCAACACAGCTAATTCAAATGGCTAAATTACCTCCTCAACATGTCTTGCAGTTCTCCAGAGGCCTGGTAATGAACTAATCATTTGATTCAGGTGTGTAGACCCAGGGTGAGATCTAAAACCTGCAGGACACTGGCCCTCAAGGCCTGGAGTTGGAGTCCCCTGGTTTATATACAGTTTTTGAGTTCTAACATTTCTTTGTCTGCTGGTTGTGAGATCGTGTCAGTGATACAGTGTAATGATTTTGTGGTGAAGCAGATTTAACACTGTGATTAGTCACTTACTGGTTGAATAAACATAGAAAATAGGTTATACTGTCTACATACAAGATTAGAGATAAATATATTATAATATTAATCTCTGGCTCTCTTCCACAGCACGTCTTTTATCCTGTCTTCCTTTTCTTACACCAACCGGTCGCTGAACCTGGTTCTGCTGGAGGTTTCTTCCTGTTAAAAGGGAGTTTTTCCTTCTCACTGTTACCAAAGTGCTTGCTCATAGTGGTCATATGATTGTTGGGGTTCTCTCTATGTACTATTGTAGGGTCTACCTTACAATATAAAGTGCCTTGAGGTGATTTGGCGCTGTATAAATAAAATTGAATTGAATTGAATACAAGATGTATACATTTCATACCACTGGAAAAAAATGCTCTCACGTTAGAATATTTACAGTGGGGCAAAAAAGTATTTAGTCAGCCACCGATTGTGCAAGTTCCACCACCTAAAATGATGACAGAGGTCAGTAATTTGCACCAGAGGTACACTTCAACTGTGAGAGACAGAATGTGAAAAAAAATCCATGAATTCACATGGTAGAATTTGTAAAGAATTTATTCGTAAATCAGGGTGGAAAATAAGTATTTGGTCAATAACAAAAATACAACTCAATACTTTGTAACATAACCTTTGTTGGCAATAACAGAGGTCAAACGTTTACTATAGGTCTTTACCAGGTTTGCACACACAGTAGCTGGTATTTTGGCCCATTCCTCCATGCAGATCTTCTCGAGAGCAGTGATGTTTTGGGGCTGTCGCCGAGCAACACGGACTTTCAACTCCCGCCACAGATTTTCTATGGGGTTGAGGTCTGGAGACTGGCTAGGCCACTCCAGGACTTTCAAATGCTTCTTACAGAGCCACTCCTTTGTTGCCCGGGCGGTGTGTTTTGGATCATTGTCATGTTGGAAGACCCAGCCTCGTTTCATCTTCAAAGTTCTCACTGATGGAAGGAGGTTTTGGCTCAAAATCTCACGATACATGGCCCCATTCATTCTGTCCTTAACACGGATCAGTCGTTCTGTTCCCTTGGCAGAAAAACAGCCCCATAGCATGATGTTTTCACCCCCATGCTTCACAGTAGGTATGGTGTTCTTGGGATGCAACTCAGTATTCTGCTTCCTCCAAACTCGACGAGTTGAGTTTATACCAAAAAGTTCTACTTTGGTTTCATCTGACCACATGACATTCTCCCAATCCTCTGCTGTATCATCCATGTGCTCTCTGGCAAACTTCAGACGGGCCTGGACATGCACTGGCTTCAGCAGCGGAACACGTCTGGCACTGCGGGATTTGATTCCCTGCCGTTGTAGTGTGTTACTGATGGTGACCTTTGTTACTTTGGTCTCAGCTCTCTGCAGGTCATTCACCAGGTCCCCCCGTGTAGTTCTGGGATCTTTGCTCACCGTTCTCATGATCATTTTGACCCCACGGGATGAGATCTTGCGTGGAGCCCCAGATCGAGGGAGATTATCAGTGGTCTTGTATGTCTTCCATTTTCTGATGATTGCTCCCACAGTTGATTTTTTCACACCAAGCTGCTTGCCTATTGTAGATTCACTCTTCCCAGTCTGGTGCAGGTCTACAATACTTTTCCTGGTGTCCTTCGAAAGCTCTTTGGTCTTGGCCATGGCGGAGTTTGGAGTCTGACTGTTTGAAGCTGTGGACGGGTGTCTTTTATACAGATGATGAGTTCAAACAGGTGCCATTCATACAGGTAACGAGTGGGGGACAGAAAAGCTTCTTACAGAAGACGTTACAGGTCTGTGAGAGCCAGAGATTTTCCTTGTTTGAGATGACCAAATACTTATTTTCCACCCTGATTTACGAATAAATTCTTTACTAATCCTACCATGTGGATTCATGGATTTTTTTTTCACATTCTGTCTCTCACAGTTGAAGTGTACCTCTGGTGCAAATTACTGACCTCTGTCATCATTTTAAGTGGGGGAACTTGCACAATCGGTGGCTGACTAAATACTTTTTTGCCCCACTGTATTTGTGATTTAACATTGCATCAGCCTGTAACAATTTCTGTATCTGTGCTGTCTTTGAGGTACCCTGATACCAGAGTGGTATCAGATACAAACATCTAGACCCACGCTATCACTGGTGGCCTTTTTTGCCATCACTGGATTTTGCTAGAAAAACAAGTTGTGATATATTTCACAAACAATTCACATGCAGTGTAGAGTAATTGGAAGCATAAGATATTTAATGCTGCATTGATATGGCATCAGATAAAGAGTGTTACCAAAAAACAAAGCAATAGCTATCGATCTATCGTGGTTAACAACATTTCTGTTAATTTCCTGCATTCTTTTGTCAACAGGTCTTTACAGGTTAGTATAATAGACCTTATATAGGAGTTGATTTAGTTTCTGGGTCTAAAAAGCGAAGGCAATGTGGAAGTGCCTTAAATCTGGATACCATTTAATGACCTGCAGGGGTTGACGCATCCGCTGCCGAAGAGCTTCAGGTGTATAGAAGTGAAAACAACCCTCGGGCTCCATGCTCTGTGACCTCTGCAAACATTTCCTTGATGATCTTATGGGAGTCTTGAAGAGGATAAATCAGGGTTTGCTCATAAGCTAATGATTTATTAATCACAAGTTTGACAATGTATATGCAGTGTCCCTCGCTTTCTCAGTCAGATCCATTTTTCATCATGTCTGGTTTCAAAATGCCAAGATAGCAGCAAAGTACTCAGGTTTAAGCTTCACAACTGGATTCACTAACCAATGGATGTCACAAAGGTTATGTCCTTGTTTAATATACTGTCCATGTTTGGGAGAGCCAGGTCTTGGGGAATTCTATACAATAGTACATTGCCAGCAATTTATGCTTAGTATGTCAAAGGAAAGAAATATATAACCCTTTGCTAACAAAGGACAAGAGGCCTGTTGGTGACTGTACATGTTTCTTCCCTGACCACAACCATAACATTTGATATCCCAGTGTCGGTGTTCTTCCCACATCATCATAATAATATTCGTCCAGGATCATTATTGCAAGTGACAAATGACATCTGATAATCCAGTTAGCATTAGGCAAGAACAAACAATAAACAAATCAACATAGGTAAATTGGGCTAACAGCAAACTTATTGTAAAATTAATAGAGAAAGCATTTGAAATGATTACCTTTGTCCCAAAAGAGAGTTTTATATAAACAAAGGCCCATTTTTCTTTTCCCCCCACATTACAAAGCCATGACATCACAACAACATGATTGGTCAGTTGCAGTGTTGATTCTAGACCAACACAGGTTACCAGTTCCACCTACACACCAGCCACCTAGCAAATCAAAATCTGAATTTCAGTTGTGTCTAATTTGCAGGAGCTCACAAGGATTTTAGGTTGCCAAGAAGCGGCCGAATGGTCCCTCAGCCAGTGTGGCTTTAATAGGCCTCTCTATAATGTATGAGCATCAGTCATCACTTATGAAGCTATTCCACATATGAACTCAAGTGATACATATGCATGTACATTTCAAACTATGCAACAAGTATATGATTTTGATGTCAGTTACGGGTGTTGCTAAGTTGACATGAGGAACAGAGAGGAAATGTCACGTCTGACATGGCATCACCACAGAATAAAAGAGGGCAGTGAGGTGCTACAGCAGCCAACAGGAACTGATATAATTCAAGGATACAAGGACCACTGGAGCAAAGAATTACTAAACACACCTTCTGTCAAGTTTCTGATATGACAGGACACGCACAGACACACACACAAGTCTGGGGACTAGAACTCTACAGGGTGTGCTGATTGGCTGCCCATAATCAAACCATTTGGTGCGCTGCATCACAATCACATTGTGTCATTAAGTCTGAGTGTCTGAATTGCACCTTTACATTCAGTGTGGCACTCTAAAAATGTTTTTTGATGAAACAGAAAAATGTCATGTACCAAGCATGTTCATGACTTTCTTACAATGGTACAGTCCTCCCAGGGCCTTGGATGAGTGACATGTAAAATTACATCTGTTGCTTGTGACGCAAAATAATGGTGACTCATAAATATAAATATAATCCCAGAGATGGCTTCTTAGTTTGTATCATAGAAACTAGGAAGCAATTTGAGAAACGGTGTCACCCAAACCCTCCACTACATCGTAGCTGTGTGTGTATGTGAGA